CAGTGTTATCACCGTCTAGTTACGCGCATTGGAATCCCAATAAAAGTCCTTGTTGTGATTTCTACACACCGTTTCCGGGATCTGGAATGGTCAGGGGAAGGTCACGTGACAACACCGGCGTGCCCGCACGCCCACACACACAGATCCGTCGCGTCTATTTTTGGTGTGCAAGCAGGAAGTAGTGAAGTGGTGCCCTCTACTCGTCATAAGCCCACCGCGGGCATCACCGGTGCACTAATAGCGATTCTTAAAGTCCTCAAAGCTGGAAGCGCTGGGGTGAGACTCAAGAGACGCGGCTAAAGGCCCGGCGGTGCATTGGTACGTGATGTTGTAGAATTCAGCAGAACAGAGGGAATGATCCTTGTTTAAATACGTAGGCGCGGTTACTTCGAGTCTGGTCAAGGAGGCTGTAGGTGGTGTGCCCTCGCAGGTAGGGTGTGTATTGGTTGTCCCCTCGCTGGTGGCGGGATCTAGCCCCACCCTACCCTGAGGACAGTTGTAAGTAACAGTTACCTTTCCTGCGAGGGCCCCACAGAGTGTTCCCTTCCCCCGGTGGTAACCTCCAGCGCCACCTTTCCCAAATTGTCTTCTTGGGTTATGTGTGATCACTTATATGACAGTTTAGTACTATCCTGGTGTATTCGTAATAAAATACATGCATGTTAAAATTTGCCTCGGTTTCCCATCTATATGAATGACTGTGAAATTACAGTGCGTTGACACAAACAGAAGACAGCGGACGATCGACTAAGTACCGGCCTTAATCAGAAGGAGGTTACGCTATCCAAGAACCTCAGTGCGCTCGGTCGTTACAATGGCACTGAGAACAATTAGAGATCGATTCGTCGACACGTGATGTGCCCATAAGACACCGAATCCCCAACCAAGAGATTTCAAGATACTTTCATATAACTTCGAAGACCGCAAACGCTTCGGATAAACTGACCGACAACAGCAGATGAGAATGCAGCCACAAATGGCGACTCATTCTACCGAAAAGTGGACGAGAGTGGAGATGAATTGAAGCAAAATTTTCCGACTCCAGGTGGGGATGTAAGTAGGAACGAAATAGGTCATCCTATCAACGGAACCTGTTCCTTATTAATCTGCGTTTTCGAAAGCTTACTGGAGTCCATCGTCACAGATAAAAGCGGCAACAAGTACCAAGGGGTAGGGGCTAATTCAAACTCCATAACCCTAGGCTGGAGGCCACTGCGCAGGGCCCGGCACCAGATCGACATTTCAACTGACTGAGTTCTCATCGGATGTTCAATTAATCAGGGATTGTCATCGTGGCTGCGAAGGTAAAATTGTGACCCGTTTCGCAGATGTTGGCAGCCACTTGTGATAGTCGGTCATCCCCGTCGCACAGTCAGCATACGTTCGTGGATACTTGGTCCGAGCATGCATTCAGTCTTACGATGGTTCCCTGCACGATTTCGAAAGCTCAGAAAAATAAATAAATGGGTTCGGTGAGCAAACACCATTCTTTCAG